TAAAAAAAAGTTTTTGAAAGACGTGTAAATCTCATATGCTCACTAAGGATGCATTTATGTGATCAAAAATATAATTACAATTTTAAATAACTGTTTTCTACTTGAATATTTTTTTAAATGTAATTTATTCCTGTGATGCAGGAATTTTTCAGCATCATTACTCCAGTCTTCAGTGTCACATGATCCTTCAGAAATCATTCTAATATTTTGATTTGCTGCTCAAGAAACATTTTGCATAATTTTTTGAATATCTATCTATCTATCTATCTATCTATCTGTCTGTCTGTCTGTATACAAGTAAATGGCATGATGGCATATTCTACTATTATGACTCATTTATGGTGATTTTCCATATTTTTGAAGCATACAGCTGCGGTCCATATTCATTACAACTGCATATCCAACATCGACCAGTATAATTCTTTAAAGTCTGTCCTTTTGTGCTTCATGGTAAAACGTCACACAGGTTTGGAACGATGTGAGAGTGTAGTTTAATTACTTAATTAAATTACAGTATGCGTATCTTATAGCTTGGCAGGCTACAGTTTCAAATTAGCATGCTGACATCAGTGCTCTCAAGCAGCAAAGTACACAATATGACATCAGACACTGAAAATTAATTTCTGTGAGAAACACAGAGGTACACTACTGTATATTTCTCCATATTTAAAATTCATCCCAGCTCTGTTTGCTTTTATGCAATCAATCCACAGCACGCTGGATTCAGTTTGTGCCATGTTTGCTCATGTTCTCACTTCTAATAATGCCGCCCTGTGTTTCTGCTCATACAAACACACATTTCCATGAATACAGTTTCAGTAAACACAGGAGGCATAATTGGAGGTTGAGAGGAACGCATTAGGAACAACGATAAAACTCCAATAAAAAACATAATGAAATTTTCCAAGCCTAAAAGATGTGCATGCCTCATAAATACCACATATGACAAAAAATAAATGGACTAAATGAAGGAAATTAGTTTGCTTAGGATTTAATGTGTGGACTCATAAATATATTAAAATGTATGTTTTATTTAAATAAATTAAAAATATATATTTTTAAATATAATTTTTTATTTATTTTGATATTACATTTATTAATAATATTAAACTAAATGTATCAGGATTTGTGTCCAATTAATGTGATAAATTAATTTAAAAAAAATTTTTGTCAACAAGAATTTGAAGATGTATAGTACAGCTATGCCATAAGTGTGAATGCACCTTAAAATCAACATGAAATCAAAATTGATTCATTAATTTTTTTATTAATTCTCATATAGAGGCTTTTCAGGATTCAGTCACTTTCAGATGGATACAAATCTTTTTTTTAGTTTTTTTTTTGGTGGAAAACCCAGTTTTACTTGAAAACAAAAAAAGTAAAATATGTTGTTGACTTTGAAAGAAATGCTGACAAAACCATGACAATCTCTTTGTTCGGACAGTAAAAGGTACGATTAATGCTAACATATCTAGGAGTCCATTAAAGGCGGGCAACAGATCTGAGCGTGTCAGTATCATTCACCATCACTCTAAGGACTCTAAGTTTCTTTTGGCAATGGTATTTTTCACACTCTAGTCTATATTCATCTCCACTTTGTGACACTGACGTTCCCGATCTGTGCTCAGCTCACTGTACCATCCGTGGATCAGTCTGATGGATCCAGATGTGCAGTTTCTGCATGGATTGCACTCCGTAATTACCCCTCCACCGAAGCCCAGCGTTGCCATTCCTTCCCAGTCATTACCCACACTCCCCAGCGCCCGGCCAGGTGACATGCAGATGGGCCATCACAAACCAGGTCCCCCGGTCCACCCGCTTACCCACTAAACACACACGCTCAAGAAGGACTATCAGCAGCACGGTCATCCAGAGCATCTGCTGCGGCACCACCAAACCTTT